AAAACAAATTGAATACTTTTTTATTCATTACTGGGGTATTTAAATAATCCTTTTTTTTTGAAATTTAATTCTTATTTCTTTAATTATGAAAGAATGGAAGTAAGATTAGATGGAAGTAATATGAAATTTGAAAATACTTATAGTTATACTATTATATAATTATAGGTATTAATAGAATATTATCTTTTTTAATTTAATTTATTTGTTAATCTTTGATTTTGTTAGTTGTCATTTTGAATGTTGATGAAATATGAAATTAATTGTAGCATTGTTTTATTCATTCTCTTTTTCTTTGTATTATTTAATAAGCATAATTATTCACTATATTATAATGACTTATTTAATATATTAAAACTAGTTTTTTAATTCTACTATATAGTATTTATTTTAATTATTCTTTTTTTATTAATTCATTAATCAATGATTTGATTATTTATTTCAAAGAGTAACCATAACCTATATTTATTTATGTTGATGAGTCTTCAATTGTATTATGTCTTAAATCAATTAAATATTGAATTAGTGATAATTTCATTAATTCATATTGTTTATGAAATATGACATATATTATTATATACATAATTAATAAATGGTTTGGTTATAATTTATGGTATATTCTTATTTTATATATTCTATTAACATATTAAAACAATATACAATCATTATTATTTCTAATGTTTGCTTAATATTTATATTATTTTCATTTTGTATTTAATTCTATCTAATAATGAATGATAATGAAATATAAATAAATATGTTAAGAAATGAATAATAAATATATTTAATATAATAGAACATAATATATAATGAAATTAATATCATCAAAATATTTAGTATTGAAATTATTTAATTAATCATATTTTATTTAACATAACTATGTAATGTGTTCTGAATTATTTAAATATTAATTTCTTTTAATACATTATTTTATCTTTATATTCTCTTCATTAATAAATTATATTCACATTAATAATTATATTTGTGATATATTGAATATATTTATCATTATATTTTTATAAAAACAATTAGTCTTAAATATAAGAACAAAAAATGATATTTGATAAATTTACATAACATATTGATGTTTTATTATTTAATATGTTTTATCTTATTATCTATGTTATTATCATATTTATCACATAACTCAATCAATAATATGCTTTAGTATTAAGTATTTAATTAAAATCAAAATAGAATGAATGATGTTAATTTAATTAATTAAGTAGTTATCAGTAAACATTTTAATGTGTCATTCAATGTGATTATGAAGAGTTAACAATGCATATTATCATAAACCAAACTCATTTAAGCTAAAAACAAACAATATCATGTTCATGAAACAAGTTAAATGAATATAATCAATACACAACATTAAATAAACATAAAAAGTAAATTAAAAACTAAATGAATAAGAATCAAAAAATATTCAAATTCAATTTTTTTAGTTATCTTATGAATTAAATAATATAGTAAAAAGTATAGATAAAATACTATAAAAAAATAACATAAAAAAATAGAAAAAGTTCATTTACTTACTTTACTAAAAATAAATCTATATCATAATAATATCTTTACTATTTATATTTATTATATTACTACGAATATCAAATCTATTTCACAACTTTAATAAATTTTTATGTGAAGAAGATAAGACTCAAAACTAAAAACAATATAAAAAGACAAAGCCAAAAAAAAACATTCATCAAAAACTTAAAGAAATGAGTCAACTAAATGTTGTACATCTTGCTAATGTTGTTTTGTATTTAAACAATACACTCACATTTCAAAATTTTATTAAAGTTAATTCTCGATGTAAAGAAGCTGTGAAAATGATTAGAATTAATCCACCAAAAGTACTTTTATATGCACCCTTCTTATTTAACAATATACCGAATATTAATACATTAAAACTAGATGCTGTTAATGCACAAAGAACTTTTACTCATCAAGAATTAGAAAGGATTTCATGGATTGACTCATCAGAGGATCCATGCCAAATAGAGGTTTTAAATGACTTTATTGCACAGAAAATAATTTCATTAAAAATTCATTATAAAGACATTCAACACCTTTATAAATTTAAAAATATTAGGAAATTAATTGTTATTGAAGTAAATTCTATTAATAAAATAGAATTTGATGCATTCAAAAGTCAGTATAAACTTGAAAAAATAATTCTTTATTTTAAAACTATTAGTTGTAAAGTTGCAGATTTTATTTTAAAGGAGAGTACAAATGTTAAAATTCAATTTACTATCATTTATAATAATCCAATTAATTGGCAATTAATTGGAAATTTTAAAGTTCAATTCTATTTATATAAGAACTTAATTACATTACCTCAAAAAAGTGTTAAAGAAGAGTTAAAACCAAAAAGAGAAGTAATAATTAATACAAATGATATTAATCAATTAAAATTTGAAAGGTTCATTGATGGAATTGACTTAACTTCGATTATTAATTTAAAAATTGATTGTACAGAATTCTTAATGAAAGAAATAAGTTGCGTTGAGATGTGTAATTTAAAAGATTTAAGCATTCGTATATTCAAAAAATCAAAGTTTAATTTATACCTTTCAAAGTCTATCAATAACTTATCAATTGATGCTGAAAATAGTCTTGTTAATATCATTGGAATTGATTTATATAATAATTTTCAAAATATTAACCTTAAATGTAAGCTTAAAACTAATACCCAAAATACGTCAGATAATTCAAGTATAGTTAGCATAAATGCTACAGAATCAATAAATATAATTTGTCCAAAGTCTTTGTTACAGATTCAAATAGAAGCGGTAAGTAATTGTAAAGTATATATTGATGCTTCTTTTACTTCTTTTGTTAATAACTATTCATGGGAATCTTCTAACATCACTTTAATAAATACATATTGTGATTCTAGTATTTATATTTTAGAACCATCGAAAGGAATGACACTTTACTCTCCTAATCATTTAATGACAATGAATGGAATTGAGAATTTAAATCAAAATATTACTATGATTGGAAATTTTGATACTGTAACACTATTTCCTAATAAAACTCTAGAGTCTCAATTCTATTACATAAATAATAAACTCAATAACATCACTATTAAGATAGATTCACAACCTAAAAAAATAGAAATATTCCAAGTCTCAACATTCTTTTTTGAACAAGAAAATTTAACTTGTAGTAACTTTTTTGTCAAAATTATTGCTGATAATTTTAATAAAAAAGATATTCAATCAATTTTACATAACTTTTCTACATGCATTTATGAAAAACCTGAAGATATTCAAGTCATTTATGGTCCTACTGAAGTTACTCTTAACCTTGGTTTAATAAAACAAAAAGTTCAATCCCTATATGAAATTCCATCATTCCAAAAAATTCAAGTCAAAGAGCATGAACTTGTTTTTTATTTTCATAAATCAAATAACCAAATAAAACGTTTAATTAATAAACAAATTAGTCATGTTGAAGAAAAACAGATAAAGAAATATGGTAAAAACTTCAAACCAGATTATAAAATTGATGATAATGATGATGACTTTTATGAATATGACAATTCAGAAGAAGAGTTTTTAACCAAAGACATGGAACAATTCATTTTTCAAGGTCAAGATAATTAAAGATTTAGTTATAATTTATTAAATTTACGTTTTAACTTGACACCAATAAATTGTAACTTTATTAAATAAATTTAAACTAATTCAAATAATACTCTAATCCTAGAATAATATTCTTAATTATTAATCATTAATAGTCTAGAAAAAACAGTCTCTTAAAAGCGATTGAATTAAAATTCTATTTTTCTATTTAATTCTTTTGACAATTTTCTTAAAAATATTAAATGACAAGTAGTTGTACCGATGAAAAACAATATAATTATAATTCATTCTTTTGTTTCCCAGCATGAGGATCAACAATTCCTTCATGGGAAGCTACTTTAAATATCATTTCAATAATCAATTTAAACCAGTAAATGTGTAATATTAACAATGAGCATAACATTCCAACAAGAAGAACCCAGACAATGTATCCTCCTGTAGCATTTTGAGGAATAAATGGATATGCTTGAATAGCAGCATAAATAATATATCTTGGAAATACGTATAATCTAAATCGTGCATAAGAAATGACTAAAAAGAAAAATCCAATATAACATGGAACTTGATTTTTAAAATCATTAGTACATTTTGTATAATACATAACTGCATCAACAATATCATGAAGAACCATTACACAAACTCCAATTCTTCCACAATTATTTACATAACTGAAAATGACTAAAAAGATAGTTGCTACATGATGGAGTAAAGTATCATAATAGTCATTTCGAGGAGTTGAACAAATATGGAAAAGTAAAGAATGTAAATGATATCCTAATTCTAAACAATAAAACAATGTTAAATATGGAACTTCAGGAACATATGGGAAATTTTCATAAATCAATAATAAATCACTTTTTCCTTGACCAAATAAAGCAGTTGGCATCCAATCTTCATTTCTAAATAAATATACACCAAATGGTGCAACACCAAGATAATAAAGAAATTTGAAAAATGTTAATCCAAACCTTTCATATCTGAATTGAGTAAATTTTTCATCCCATTCTGGTTTTCTATATACAACTTTCTTAGCAATCTTTTTAAACAAATTTTCTGCAAGAATAATTCTTAAAACAGATATTACTGCTAATGGAATAATAGAAGGAAGTAAATCTATTGGTTTTGGTAATGGAGATTGTTTAAATTCTTCACTTCGATTAAAGCTTGATGGAAAACATACAACAACCAATGGTACCATCATTAATAGTTGTAAAAAAAAACCTTTATCCCATTTGGTAACAAGTTGTGGAGGTTGTTTCATGATTTGCATCTTTGTTTTCATTTCTAGTTCATTTCTCTTTCTTAAATATCACCGTTAAGATCTCATCTCATTTTGAAAATCAAGAGACAACAGACATCGTCTGTTTTGGCTGTTGTCTGTTATTCTATTTTTATTTTCTAATAATTTGAAGGTTGGTGAAAAAGAAATGTCTTTTCGTTTTTATTATCACTTATTCAAAAAGATTATTCATAAAAATTGTATGAAAAAAATCTAAAAACTTTTGCTCAATTTTTTTTGGAAATTTAAGAAAATAATAAATTTATTAAAAAATATAATAAAAACAAAAGTTTATCAGAATATAGCAAAAAAGAATAATTGTTTTATGAAAATGGAATATCACAAGTGTCTGTTGTTGTGTCTGTAAAAAAGACATTACAAAAAAAATTGGGAACAAAGAGAAAAAAGTATGAGAGAGTTTCAAAAAAAAACTTTTTTCATTAATTTATATGAAAAAACATTAAGCAATCCAATCAATTCTTAAAACCTTAAGGAGTTTTTATCTTTTTTACTTAACACTTAAAAATTAATGTTTTATGTTTTAATGTTATAATAATTTTAATTGTTTTATAAAACACGTTTTACTTATTTAAAAAATCTAAAAAAAA